TGATGATGTTCATGTATTTATTATAAATTCATGATTTTCACACAGGTTGCGAAAATAGTTTTATTGTGTTGATTTGAATTTTCAAAGAAGAATCAATCAGGTACTTGCAAACTCTTGAGACATAGACATTAATATTTGTTTTACTACATTTGTTTGGAATGCGGCATGCAGTACTACTGATTTATTGATTTGTTATATCAGTTTCCTTAACTGCATCTTTGTTTACTTATTCTAAACTGTAAAATACCTACAACTTTCTGTATTAAATCATGCATGTATTTTAAAACTGTAAAACTTAATGTAACACTATGACAATTAATGGCTTTGTTATTATATTTGTAATCAGTTGTTAAATCTATATAAAACATATTTCACAGAATCAACATTATTTTCATTCCTTAGACCTTATCTAATGTTGAGGTGAAATCAATCCACACTGACCACTGGTAAATGGCCATATTGTTTCTGATAAGAGTTGTATCAATAATGCACCATGGACAGTTTATAGTTCACGCCAGGGTTATAATAAGATATCCTGCAGAGCAGTAATTTAGATAAACAGTTACCTTCTACTAGGGAATTTCTGGCAAATGTGGGCCTATATTACAGAGTGTAAAGTTGTTTCCCCCCAGAAAAAATCAAATGGAAGAGTCTGAACTGTAGCAGAATTTATGGTGGGAAAACAGGTGGTTACCATTATCAGACTGGTCAGTGCAAGGTGTAAAATCAGTCAGTTGTGTAAAATCATTGTAGAGTAGTAGAGGCAGTGTTTATTTATTTATCCTACTAAAAATAACAGGTCATTAAAATATATTACAAACTAGATTGAGAGAGCTTAATGTATGAGCTTATTTCATACACAATTAACTTTACAGAGTGAAGAATAACTCATAATGTCTGCAACTTTGGAGTCTTGAATAAGAACATGTACCAGTTTGTTGTTGTTATAGTTTTTGTTGTTGTTCTTTTTATACTTAAAAGAACAACAAGGACAGGCCAGTATGTGAACTATCTCATATATTTTAAAACTAAATAATCATATACAATGTACATGTATATTCAAATTTAGATAGCACTCTTAGTTCAAAGTTGCTTACATTATGAATGTTAAAAATTAAATCCTAAGTGTAAATAATGTGCATCCAGTCTGTACAATTGCATCAAAGATATTAAAGTATTTAAATAAGAACAATTTCTCTAAAAGATTTTCTAAGTGTGTATTGTACATCTGTATCATTGAAAATACAGTTGTAGTTTTGGACTTAAATTATTTTCAGCACAAAATATCAGCTCAATATTTTCTAAGTATCAGAATTACATGTGTACATCTAAAACACAGGTCTTGTCTCAAAAATACACCTGTAAAATTGTTAAAATACACCTGTATTTCTTAGTCAAAATGTCAAATTCAGCAAACACAGGTCCCTAAGACCTGTATTTTTACAAAAACAGGTGTTTTTCAGAGTTTTTTTCGTACGGGTTAAACCAAAAAGAATAGACACTGTCTTGCCAAGATGCAAAGACAATTTATAGTCAATTAACCAATCTTAAGATTTATTTTACCAGATACAAGGATACCTGAGTCATCATCATATAATCACATGCACGAGTATCGAACCTGGGAAGAAAATCTTATCATATTTTTTCTTCCCAGGTCTGATACTTGTACCTGTGCATATAATAAAGCTTAGTATTGCTTAGGGTTGCAGACATGTCATTGACATAGTTTAGACATAAAAGAGGACCTAAAATGAACATCAGGGGGACACCATAGGTACTCAGAGCAGAAGTAGAAGGAGTACCAGCCACATCAACCAGCTGCTATCAGAGATAAATCTTGAACCATTCAAGAATGTCATTACATATGGCAGATGCTTGAAGTTCCATTAAGAAGAAGAAAAAGAACTTCTTCATGTGCAGTATAGTGTGATCAACTGTATCAAATTCTTTTGTAGATCTAACAGTATCATGCAATACTGCCTTTGTCCATTTCAAATTAAATGCACTTTATTAAATGAATAAAACATGTGCCAGTCGCAAACCCACTTCTAAACCCTGACTGAAACTGCCAGACCATGACTCGAACACATGACTTTCAGAAGACCAACTGAGCTATCTGGCCGGCTACACATTTTCTCTTAAATAATGAAACAGTTCCAAACCACAACATATTTCTCCACTATATTGATTAATGTCCTTGAATTTCTGATGTTAACAGAGCATAGTGAATTAAACTCATGGTTATATGCAGTCACAGGATGATAAAAACTTTCAGCTTCACCATAACTCAAACTCGGATCCACAGAATAATGTACTGAGCTATCTGGCCACTTACACATTTTCTCCTCTAAATAGTGAACAGTTCTTAACCATGACAGATATTTAGATTTTCAAATTAACAGATAAATAATTCTTAATTAATAAATAAGAAAAAAAAAACCCTTACATACTCATATAGTCTTAATTAAGATAACAATTTATATACCATTGTATAATTATTTTTACTAAAAAGGGCTTAGACAGTTATTGGTTGTGCCATTATTTATAACAGGTCAATTTAAAAGTGAACATAACTGTACTAAATCATGTACAATATCTATTTTTTGTACAGATAAAAAACTAACCTTTTTCTATGATAAGAAATTTTATGAAGACTGATTTGTATTTTGCATCATTGAGGGCACCGGGCGAAAACATGAAAATTATGCAACCAACGAACCAGTTCGTGGTAGATTGTATTTTCATGTTTTCATCTGGCGCCTGGTTACTTTTTGTACTTTGTTGGTTTTCATGTGGCACATTAAATCACCCACTATAAATTTAGTGTACAAATTTATTCAAGGGCAAGTAACAATCTACTCTATGAAAAGTATGTTGTCGGGTTGACTCAGGAGACCTGGAGATTGAGACCGGTGTCCCTCCATTACAAATAGATAAGGCAGAAGCTGTCCGTTTCAAACTATGCACATGTTAGAAAAAAAATAGAATGTAACTATTCAGAATATGATTTGTTTTGAGACTTTATCAATTATATTGCTGGATCCAAGATTCAGGACATTTTCAATCAATGCATGTATTATCATTTATAACTCTAAGTCTCATCCCTTTAATAATAATGACATAACTGTAACTCTTTAAATTCAGAAATATTATAAATCTCATCATATCAATATACTAAGATATACATGTATGCACATAACATTTATAATTCCCAGTTTCTATTAAATAAATATGAAATCCTAACATTAACATTGGTACTAATGGATGGAATTCAAAATCTAGTAGAAAGAAAACTATAATATATAAACTCTGTTATAGATACTATTATTAGCCAGCTAACACTGGGTATAAACATTTTTAACCTGTAGACTGATCATGTATTATCATTTATAAATTTAAATGCAAGTCTCATCCATCATAACTGTAAGTCTTTAAATACAGAAATACACATTATATCCATATACTATGATACACTTGTATGAACATTACATAAATAATTCTCAGGTTCCATTAAAAATAAATATAATATCCTATTAACATTGGTGTTTGGGTGGAATTCATAATCTTGTAGAAAGAAAACTATAATGTACATGATATTGTATAGTATAAAAGTAAAAAAAAATCTCAATAAAAATTATATAATAAAGATTAAGTTGTGTGAGTTTCTAAACATTAAATGCATATCTCCTTCAGTAACAAATACTGTCTCTCATTAGACTTTACTATAAAACTAACTGTATATATATCAAGTGTTTAAAATGAGCACCCATATGTATAGCTTAAATATTCTACCTTTTCATTTTTACCAAAGGTTATTTTATGAGCAATTTACATACAAACACATAGAAAATAATAATTTCACATATTGATTAGAATATTCCTCCAGCAGAATACCTATAGTATATGTGCTAAATGAACAAACTAGAAAAATCTGGTCTAAGGTATATAAAGCCAGTAAAAAAATATCTATCAATATTCACTCATCATGGCCTCTATGCTTTTGATTAATACCTTACAACTGGTAAATTTATGAAACAAAAATAGTAAGTAATACCTAACTTCAACCTAAGATAGACAGAAAAGAACAGATAATTTAGTAAACATGAGTTATTTCCCCTTAAAAAAGAGAAAACCTGAAACCCAAAAGAACACCCCAAACATCAAAATTAAGAAATGTTGCAGGCTCAGTTTTATTAAGCCATGCAAATTCATGGTAAAGTATTCATAAAAAAAATAGATGGCCATGTTACAGCAGTTTTTGCAGAAAATCGGATAGCTTTCAACATCCGGATACTGGTACACCTTGTAAAAACAACCATTCTGTGCAACAGATAAACGTAATATATAAAATTAATAGGATACTTGTTTATAACAGTCCATTACCTATCCTTATACTAATTGGCAGGTGAACTTTCTTCTTGTAGGAAAATTTTGAAAATATATAAATGAATGAACGAATGGATACATGTGTCCGGCATCAATGTAGACCACAACGATATTCGAAATCCGGGTTTTAGTATTCAAACTTCTCAAGTGTGTCGAAAGGATTTGCGAAATTGTGTAAATATATCACGCTGATATTTCGCGTGTTGATAAAAATACTGTAATGTATATGATTTGAAAGGAAAATGTTTCTATGTAACTTTTCACGGAAATGGGCTGTACAATGATTGCGTAAAAAGCCAATAAAATGTCGGCTGTAGAAATCGAAAGGAATTTTGTCACGTGACTTTTGCCCATGCTACCGAAAACTACCCATCACAATATCACGGCGTTGAGACGCCGTGAAATAACTAATTAATCAAGTATATTACTCCTTTTTTAACAAAATGCTCAAATTTGTGTCAAAGACCTGAAAAGACACGTTTAGAACTACTGTTCTATACATAAAGCAATTAACTTAAAGTAAATTAGGAAAATTGTTAGTAGGGGTGATAACAGGCCTTCTATTTTAGGGTTTATTCGAGTATCTTAATAAGTTTACGATGTGTTCATTTCAGTATGTTGTCTTAGCATTGTCCAAGAAGAAGTAGCAAGTCAGAGTGTCTACACAGTAAATGATACAACTACGTTACAAAGAGACATGTTGGCTAATTACGATAAGAAACAAAGACCACAGTCACAAACAAATCTTTTGTTGGAATTTGGACTGTTGCATATAACTGAACTGGTAGGTTTCAGTTTTGTCGATTTTTTGGCTTTCTTTAGCTCTATTCACTATTACTAATTTAGGAATGTAATACCTCGTGTTTTATAAAATATAATTAAATAATTCAATAAATCTTGCAGAGCATATGAAAGAAACATTGCAAGAATACTATTTTTAATCTGGTAACTTAAAAACAAAAACAAAAGAAAATCAATATGAATAGTATACAATGTATGCTTTATTAAATTGCAAATACAAATATCACAATATATTAAATAATTAAAATAACACATCTTTATTTATCGTTTTCAAAAACATACACGCAGTATTTGCCATTGCAAACAGGAAAAAAAGGTAGTTTTCATGCAAATATGTTGTTTGTTAACTTTATTTTTCATAATTTTTCATGCAAATATGTTGTTTGTTAACTTTATTTTTCATAATTTAATTCTTTATTTTCAGGACATTGTAACTCAACGTTTATTCAGTATGGGGTTCCTTTTAATTGTAAGTAAACAATTGTGATTTAAAGGCACTTATCTGGTTCATTGAAAATAAAAAGAACCATATAGTCATGTTTACAGAAAATATGGGTCGTGACGTGTCAGTTCAATGGTTGCAAGAAAAGTCTCCTTTATCTTTCACGAGTTAACAGAAATGTTACACTATTTTTACAATGTAGATAAATATTTTGAAACTACATGTGTATTAGCTGTTTTTATCTCACCTTTGGTCAATTAAATGCTCCAATAAAAATATATACATGTCTTATTTACACTAATTACCATATGACTGTGACTATAATTACAATATAGGAACATTAGTATATATCTTACAAAACAAAACAAGATGTATTTGTATTACATTAATGTTTTGTAATTGATTTGCCGTGCCTTGCATTCAAAACAATGCATTCAATGTTATAAATCATAATCAAATATCAAAATAAACAATAGCTTTACTTTACACTTTATATCAGAATGGCCAATGGGACTCCCAAAACTTTTGAAATGACAAATGTAAGTTTGAATATAGAAATCAACTCCAGTTTCAACTTAAAAATATAATAATTGTTTTATAAAAACCATACAACGTTTCGACTAGAATTCTTCATCAGGTATACTTGTTTTCAGGAAGAGACGTCAAAAAGTAATTATACAATTCGGCGTACTTATTCAGTATACAGGATCTTAATAAAAGATACCAAATCACATGCAAAGGTGCAGTAAAAAGCAATGCAAAATGTAAAAATTATCAATGATACCACGACAATTTCTTCTTAATTTATTTACTTCCATGTAGATATTACAGGAAGTCAAACTGATTTTAGATTTCCTTTGGCCGAAACAAATAGCTACTAACAGATTGGCATGGATTTATACTGTTGGAAAAATGTATAATCCCCAAACCAAGTTACACAATCAGTCAAATGACCTTGAAAGATTAGTTTAATTTCATCTATGATAGAAAAGAAAGACTGATGAATCAAACAAACAAAGTCTTAAAGTAATAGTTTTAGTAAATTAATAAAACAAAAAAACATACACACACATTTTATGTTGTCATATTTCTTTTTCTACATAATTTCAAACTTTTTTCCCCAGGACTGGAAGGATGACCGATTGCAATGGACACCTTCAAATTACGGAAATATAACGGCTTCTATGTTTAGACTTTCTGACATATGGATCCCGCCATTAGTTTTGAGTAATGCGTAAGTTATGTTTTAGTTACAATCAAGCTCGCCTTTTCCTATCAACGCGTAGGTTTCTAGAACCAATCTCACTTTTTTCTTTCAATGATTTGTTTTTTAAAAACCATAAAATCGTACATTCGATATTAATTTTATGTAATTACCAGTTTCTGAAAAGTTTAATATATTAATAAACGCTCGCACACTCATTTAAACGTTCGTGTCTTTATAAATATTTTCAACTATATTTTTGTTTTTCTTTCTTCACAGTTTCTATTCTTGTTTGTTCATCGTATACTTTTTGTATCGTGTGTGTATACCATTTTAAAATTGTATCGTTTTAAAAACATTTACCTGAATAAACTTGTGTATATATTTTTTTATAAAATAAACAAATTTCAGAGCTGACGAACTAAAGATACTTGGTGACAATTCTGATTTCGCAAGTTCTCCTGTAAATGTGGATTCAACAGGGGATGTCGTATGGATGGCACCTGCCAGTTTTGTAGCACAATGCACTGTCAACATTAAATACTATCCATTTGATTCACAAAGCTGCAAGTTAGTGGTAAGATTTTGTTCACTTCCTCTTGCTTTGACATTAATTGTCACCACTTAAAGAACATGTTTTTCTTAAAATATATTTATTTCAAAACAACATTTACTACAATCAATGCCTTAGGCGTTTCACCATTCATGTCACAGTCATGCGATCATTTCTTTCAGTATTTTGAAAAAAAGAGTGAGCGAATGATCTGAAATTTTGCACCCAAATACTTGTCTAACCCCTAATTAAAAAAACTTAGAAAAGCAATTATGACACATTTGAATATGACAATGATAAATGTAAATACAGCATTTTGATGCTATCGTTATAAGCAGTGAATTGGTGCACGCAATATCGAGTTGTTTTCACAAAATTCTGGAAACATCATTCATTAATTCTTCTAGCGTTATAAAATTAAGGAAATCGAAATGTAGCAAGGAATAAATTTAAATGTGTTCGTCTCTGAACAAGTACACTGACAAACTTTTCTGTTGAAAAGTAAATCAGTAAAGTTGAAGGAGCAATGTTTTTTTTATTAAAGGTTTCATCTTGGATGTTCCTTGAATTTATGATAGACCTTGGTCCAATGTCACGAACCATCAACCTTGACATTTATAAGGAACACGGCGAATGGGAAGTCACTGGGACATCAGTAACAAACAGAACAAGGTAAGCAAAGTGTTAACATCACTGTTTTAAAAAATGGGACAATTATGAACAATAAAAATGCACAGGTTTCAAAATGAAAAATGAAACATCTTACATGACCTTTAGCACCAGCTTAAACTGTATGTAATACTTCACAAATTTTGTACTGGAGTCAATGACTCCTTAGAGCCAGGAATTTATCAGAACACTGAGATAAACGTCAAGCAACCAATATTTAACAGCTGCCACCACGCACTCAACATTTGCTATCTGAAATGTTAACACAACTTTTGTAACTTTAGTTTTGCAAAATCATGAAATTGAATTAATGGTGTGATTGAGTCTTTCAAATTTCTACAGGTTTAATTTCTTATATATTTATGTTTTCATCATCCAATCCCATAGTACCCTCATTTGCCTAAATGTAATATTTAAGTGTAAATGTACGAGCAAGCATCATTTCGACCTGTCATTAGCATTGGGACAACATTAAAAATATACATTTATCTTTAAAACATATATATACTTATTAATTATATGATGCATGAAAACTATTGGTTTCAGTTTTTTATTGTTAGCTTCTGTTTTTTTTATTGACTCAAGCAAATGCTCGTATTGATTAACAACCTTCTTTTTTCTGTATGAAAATATGAATACAGAATCTCTAAACGGTAATATTTTGTTACTTCCCCCTTTTGTCAATACTTGGTTTCTCTGTGTTCGGAAACTGACAACATACACTGACTTTTACACTCGATTGTTATGTTTGTTTTAACTTGATTGTTTTTAGATCACTCAGTGGTTACCAGCTGCCGGCAATAGATTTCACTCTTGAACTGAAGAGAAAGTATTCATACTATCTGTTGAACATGCTCCTCCCAGTTATCATTCTTGCTTCGATGGCGCCATTTGTTTTTATTCTGCCGGTAGAAAGCGGAGAAAAGATTGGCTTTGCTCTGACAATTTTATTGTCATTGTCGGTTGTTATGACCATAGTTTCAGACAATATACCGCCGACATCAACTCATATCTGCGTTTTGAGTAAGTTATATATGCATCGATAACGTGTGTTTAGACTCTACACTGTACACTATAGCATACAAATTGATGAACAAATCATTTTGCAGCCAGTGTTTATAACTTAGTACAACAACAACAGATATGGATTGGATAAAAAAAAAATGTTTTCATATATTTATCTTTCTTTTCAATTTCGGAACAAATTCATTCATCAGATAGTTTTGTTTTAACATGTACTTCTCGTAATGTCTTTTCTCCATAAATTACCATGACATATATTATAAACAGGGTATGAAACTGTGTACTCAAACACCACATCATTGCGCGATTGATTGTTTGCGTATGTCAAAACATAGCTGTTTTAGCGGCTAGTATATGATACACACATTGGCTGTGTTAAAAGAAAGCCTTTAGTCTGAAATCGGTCTTAAGACAGATTTTGCATTTCATAGAAGACTCTTATTTTATGACTCTTTTAATTTCTGAATAGCAATAAAGATGAGCAACAACATATTGTGAATTTAAAAATCTGTCATTGTATTTCTTAACTTTTATCAGCAAAATGAATTTAATTATTGTCTTTGACTGAAGATAAGAACATTTATTGAAACAGCCTCAAGATAATCCTAAAGTTGGTGTTATGTCACACATACGACACTTTCTATAAAACGCAAACTTGAGTTTTTTTCATTAGATAAAGAAACGGCATTCAATAAATACCTTTAGTTAATGCCTATTTAATACTTTTTTGTTAATTAAATTTTAAGTACTTATTAAACGACAAATAAGAAAATGCAGACTTTATCGATATGATTTGTATGCAAGTTATCATATATATTTATCATTAAATTATATTTACTTTCAGGTGTATATCTATTAATGACATTTATTCTATGTTCTGTACAAACACTGGTTACGGTGCTTGTATGCAGAGTTCATGAGCTCCAAAATAAGACTTACATCATGGGCACAGCATGCAAGAAAACTGTCCAGCTTCTTGCTAAACTAACAAAATACAGGTTCGTTTTATTCCGCTGAATCTATGTTATTTGTTTGTCTTGTTTTGAAATTGAAGCTTTTTATTTAAACAATAATAAGGGATTTCGATATCAAAATATAATATATAAGTTATCAGTACAAAATCTGGTCATATTGCAGGAATGTTCCAGTATTCCTCCTTCTTGAATACTGCATAATCACCCTTAGGATATGTTGCATGTTTTTTTAAATTAGTTTTTTTGACGTCTTATCTGTGATATGCAGACTTCATATCGTCTGATCCCCTTTTGTCATTTTTTGTTTTTGTTTAAGTCGTGAATTCTGCTTTAGTCCGTGCTAGGTGGGACGTGGATGGTAGCTTGCACCAATATCGTCCATAAACAGGCTCAATCAAACCGATGTTTTCACATTTTCAATTTTTGTCATTCTGAACGTTTTTTAGGGTTTTGTGTTTGTTTTGTTGTTAACTTTGGGTTCCAGAATACTCGTACTAGTAATCTCTCTCTGTTCAAGCGTTAGTGATGCTTGTGTTGTTGATTTTAACATTACAATGCAGGAACTGTATATTTTAGTTATAATGTAGAAATTCCAAAGTATTGTTTTTCATCTATAATACAAAGGTTCCTTGTAAACTATCACCTTCCATCCGTTGATACTTGTAATACAATGATAGTTGTTTTATCTTTTATTAACATTTATAGTTGTTGTGTATAGTAATCGTTTACATAGTGACCACACTAATTCCTGCAAATGGATTTCTGTTTGAAATTGGCGGATGCAATTTAATTGTATTGTTTTAGGTTATTGGTGATCCGTACAAAAGAAATTCATTATGTCAGGGTAAAGTGAATTATTATAGGAAGTTATAGTTGGGTTCAAGTATAAACGGTGGTACAGAGGTATCATGTGATTTTTTTAATTTTCTGATACATGTCTTTATTATTGTTGTGGAGACGAGGTATTATATCTTTGGAACAGAATATTGTATTTTGTGAACAAGATTTTACATGTATGTCGTGAAATTAATACATTTTATCGTGAACACGAAGTTAACCGTTGATGTAACGTTTCATATAAATATCACTGATGCTATATGGTAAACATTAGGTTAATACAATTTTAGGACCAAAACAGCATCAGTCAAACGAATATTTTATTATTGTTTGCAATCTAAATCCGCTCTAATTTTCAAACGAAGACCCAGAGGTGATGCCTTGTCCGAGGTTAAAGATGTACCTGGTATCAAAGAAACTCAAGTTGTCAGCCAAGAGAAAATTGACTTATCAAAAAGTAAAGGCATCGCTTGGACTGAAAATGAAACTGATAAACCAGAGGATGAAAGCATAGACGAACAACTTGAATACACATATGAAGACATGGTGATCATGTCGGAGAAATTCAACTTTTATCTTTTTACTGTCTTGACCTTACTCACAACAATTATTTGTATGATCATTTTGGAAACAAATGGATCAGTGAAATAGCTTACAAATTACATAAACTATATTCTTGTACCCAAATGATATTAATTTGTATACATATTGTGTTAACAATCACGGTCATACCATAACCATTTCACAACAAGTCACGCGTTGTATTCACCCTACAAGAACGAGCCTCGTTTGGCAAACTGTTTTAAAGACCTGTAAAATTGAAGGTACGGCTTCAGAATTCAAATTCAATTATGCCCGGATATTTTTCTTTTAGCTTTTATTCTACTGATATGTCAGCCGTGTTTCTAAAATAAAAAACAATATATTTTGAAAAAAAATATCATTAACGAGCTGAATTAGTGTAAGAAAGTTTCTTGTTTTGAATTTTAAATAATGTTGAATAGATCGTAATATAAAAATACAGGACATGTAGAACCTTGACGGAGTGTACAGATATGCATGTACGTCGGTCTAACTTTATAATGGCGGCAAAGGCTGATCACTTTCGGTTCCAGCAGGTTAAAGTTGGACGTGATATGTTTTAATGTTATATACTTGCAATGTAGTGTGTATTGAATTAAAAACATATATTAATGTTTGATTTTGCTTGTTTGAAATTTCAGTCCCCTCCTCCCAGTTCAATTAAAATTTGTTATCAGATATCGAACTTCTTTAGAAATGATCCAGTATAATAGGTTACTTTTGACATTTCTGTTTGTTTATCTAATATGATATAGATACTTATCTCAGTTATTCTGCTGTTCATCTATACCTTTATTCCAAAAAGCGCAAGGCAATAACCTTATATACTTTGTATATCTTAATATAAGCCGTATCTGTAGCACTTAAAACCTACGTGTTTTAAACTTGTGTAGCAAATCTATTGGTTATAAGTAGGAATGCTTTTACTCTGGTACAGGTAATAGTCTACCATATTAATTGTCATCAGTTATGAATGACATAAAGCGTTGTCATCAACTTATTTATACTAGGTCGTTTAATCAAGATAGTGATGTCTGTTAACAGAATAAGTATTCCATTGTGCTACACTGTATTTCTATAGCAATGTCACACAGTATGCACAATAAGAACTGCTTCAAAATACAAGTTATTTTTTATCATTTTCTACTATCAATTTTAGTGATGTTTCTTTTTCTTTGAATATCGTTCTTTAAATCAGTATCTTCTATTTATTTTGACGGTTGATCATTCAAGACGTTACTCTAAAACATTTATAAGACGACAAAAGACTAGTAATAATTGAACTTTTTATCCATTTCATATACAGAGTACACCTTAATTGGCCGTAAACATCACGAATTAATAAAACTTTATACAGGTACTGCCTATAGTAGATTTTATTTAGAGCATAGTTCTTTATTTCCAAATATTATGTGCCGAGCAATAGCTGCAAACGTTGTATTTAGGTCTCTCATAACCATCTCGTTCATAGTTTCCTCATTCTTTCTGCTGTAAAGATGAACACCGTAAAGTTTTGACCAATCAAATGGACGAAGTCCGTGTTTAAATATTGCAACACCATGCAGACTGTAAGGTCTTGATATTGTCTCATTTTCAACGTGTATTAAATTTGTAAAATTTTTAGCCAACATGTAAGGGTATCGCATAGCACTATAGGAGTAGGAATCATTTCTATAGTGATACTTATAACCGACAAGCCATTTTTGCATAAACGTGGAGTTTCGTTCTGCCATTATATACGAAGAACCAAGGTGAAAATGTGGTCTTAAATACATGAAATAAGACATGGTGCATGGATACTGTCGTAACAAGTCAACATTCCTCATAAGTACCATGTCCATATCTAAATATATTCCTCCATACTTCAACAAGGCTTCAATACGAATAACATCACTTAAATTATTGAAGTGTTTCACTTTCTTTCCGAATATTTTATTGGATTCCATAAGTCTTTCAACGTGAATTATATTGGCATATATATTTATAATAAACTTCCAATATAAACGTTGCGGTAAAATATTTCTATGGATCAATATCAAGCAGTGACGGACGAATCGTAGAGCACTTATAAAACTAAGAAATCCATAAAAATCAAATTTGACTTTAGCCTATACCACACATAATGCACAATCTGTGGAACTGTCAGTTTATCTGTACAGCATTGTTTGATATAATAATTGACACAATCACTTTCATGACATTTTGTTTGTATTTGGTTTCGCTGATGCCAGTTAGTTGTTTCGAATTTGATGTAGATTACTGGAGGTTGGTTCGTGAAACGATAGTTTCTCACATCAAAACTTGGACAAACAAGTCTCTTTTTATACGTCCACGTACTCCAGTCAGTTGTTATGGGATTGAAGTGATTTGAAACTTCAGATAATCCGAGGGAACATTTATCTTGTTTGAATTGACTGTTCAAGTCGTTGTTCATTTTTTGTGGACCTTTTAAACTATTATTTACTTCATTCATGATGATTCATTCATGAGGAATCTTCTGCAACAGTACAAAATATGTATCATTTAATCAACATATATATAAGAACACCTAGAGAGATTAAGAAGTATGCTTAACCAGGGTCTTTCAATTTTTTTTTAAAGATCTTGGTTTAAGAAATTGTGAAAAAAAATTAATGTGATTTTCTTTTAAATTTGTCATAGGATCGGTTTAACATTTAACAAAGAGTAACTACAACATCTAATAAATTAGTTTGTTATGCATCATTATGGCTTTATTTATGTAAAAGCAATAGCCACTTTCCATTCCATTGTCAACATGTATTTTCTCCCGTGCTGCATGTAAGAAAATCTATATAAATTACGTCATCAATCAAAACAAAAATGCCATATTGATTGCATTTTCAATATCTGGTTAATGTTAAGCATTTCTGGTATTTGTATTATAACAAATAAATTAAAAACTTTGTTAATAAGTGAAAACCCGACAAACATTAGCAACAAACAAATTACTCACGATAAGATTTATCTCCTTTTATTATTTGTTTTCGAGATAATAAATACTTTCCTTGTACATCAAGGAAACAACAAAGCAAAGAGAAACATATAAATATAGATAACAATGATCGCATTGACCAAAACTTTATGCGAAAACACGCAGTCCTCATTCTCTCTATTATATGTATAAATAAAGAGGGATTAGGAAAATGCTCGGAGAATAATCTTAATAACTTCCTTTTTGATACAACATGTGTTGCAATCTAGAAAACAATTTTCGTAATAATTATGCGTTTGCATTTTTGCTAATAATGTAAGGAAAAACAAATCGCTGTCTATTATCTTAATATCGTATCAGTTTTTCTTTTTTTTCTCTCTCATTCTTAGTAACATATTAAAATTTGGTTGTAATTATCTTTTTTATGTACCGGGAATACCATTATATCTGTTTAATAATCTATTGTACTTTTCCGATTCAAATTTCGAAACTCTATCGTAAAACAATCTAATATCAAATGCAATGAGAAGTTTCTTAAAGAATATTTCTTTATGATCGGAATAATTTGCATAATTGTATGTGAAAACATGTAATTACATTAAGAATTTCGATAGGATATAGTGCATGTGCGCGCTGTTTTAGTAGATTGAGGAAATGTTTCCCTTTTTAAATTTGATTTCTGAATTTTTAACTGTTTCTGATCGGATGGAGTCGTTATTAATGATTTCATTATTCAAAATGTTGAAAAATAAATGTACTTCTAAAGCTTATGATAAGATGGATACGTGGCATTTAATTTTAATATTAACTTGAAAAAACGAAGACGAGAAAGCTTTTTCGCAGTGTTTTTGTTTTGTTGTTTTTGTTTTCGTTAGTTTTTTGTTAAGTGTGGGTGCGTTTTTATTGTATCGACACATCTACACTTTTCCAGTACTTATATTTACCTCTGCCCTGTGTGATATCTAATCAATAGGCCTTGACGTATAAAGAAAGTATTTTACCAGTTTTCAAAAAGTCCAAAGGGACTCATTTGTTGACATGTGCATAAAATATTTCGTATTCCATTCTCATCCATTATGTTATAACGGAGTCCTGTTATTGCGAACACTCATTAGTTAAACCAACCAAAACACAAAACTTCGATGGTAAAAAAATTGAAATAACGAGACCACTATGTTGAAAAGTCTAAGGTACGATGATAAGTCAAAAGTACGATGGTAAAATATCGATATTCTAGGTACGAAACCATGTAGATTTTCATTTCGTTGTTTCGTTATTTCTACTTTTACCGTCGTACATGACATTATATGACACAGGTCAATTCAATTCAGTCTAAATATCAACAGCGAAGCGGATGTACCATCTCAGTAGGGGCGAAGCGTTGCATTGTGTTATCGATATTATTGGATAATACACGTCACGTATTAACTTGATTTGCATACGCTAAAACTGTTTGGGATATATATTTTTTCACATATTTATATATTGTTTTTTTTTTATTGTTGACATTTGTAACATTACGAGGCGTTGTTCTCTGAAAACACAATTACTTGACAGGTAAAGTGGTCGTTAAATGGAAAGATTGATCTCAATTAGCTGACTAATTGGGGATCGTTGGTCGCGTTGTGCAAAAGTCGCTCAATACATTAAAGATATAGAGAGAATATGATCGGGGGGCAATTTAAAGTGGCCGCATAAGACAAGGGTTGATAAATACACGTGGTCGCATTGGCAAGTTAGACTGTATTAACAACAGAAGAAAAGGTCATTACCCCTTTAAACTGGACCTATTTTGACCACAGAGCTTAGTAGAGGTCTACTAGATAATATTTCATGTCAAGACCTTGGCAATAGCAAAAAAAATCAAAGTTAATACTATATATAAAATCACAAACTCAGTGGAGTTTGGTTTAAAATAGTTTGTATTTTAAGTATAAACGTCTAATGTGTTCACATTTTGAAATAATGAAAGAAGTATTCACGTCACTGAACGAAATTACTAGTAAAAGAATTTCATAAATTACATATTATGATATGATAGAAGAACAATAAAGATTGACACGCACTCTTTAGGCAATTAAAGAGGAAATGAGGATATCAAGATACATTACAATAATCTGATTAAAAAACATCAATAATTCTTTGCAACGGAACATATGTTTATAAGATGCATTTTATTATAAACTTTACCGAGAAAATAGTGCAATCGGATTTAAAAATCATAAGCTGGCAAGTAGGATTCTTTTGGCATTAATACATTTTCTACGGAATTTGACATACGAGTTTAGTCACGTAAAATAAATATAATTAACAGGGGAGGCAATCTGTGATCATAAGAGAATACAGTTTACGTTGATAAAGAAGAAAATATAAAAGTTATTAAAATAGCACTGATTTGGAGGATATATTTAGAACTGTAGACATAATTTTTTTGATAGAGTTTTAGTTTCTTTTCTTCAAGCGTCAAATACCCGCAATTGTAAATGCAAGAAGGATTGTTCATTGTCACTTACCGTTATTTTTATCCATTTGAACCACTGCTCATATGGTTAATATGCCGGACTGATCATTTTGGCAATATTTAAGACTGTTAATTATGTAAATGTTTAAGACCTAAACTGTAAGTCAGTATGAAAGGTTCACCAGTAATACACATAGTTTGACAAATATTCATTAAAAGATCACAATACCATTTTGCAACTGACTATTCCTTTAAGTTATTGAAATATTGAAATATCATACCAGAATAAATACTTTATGTCATTTATCATCAAATGATAATAACTATTACACGATGTAACAACTGGGAGAAAATTGTCAGTGAAGGAGGCAGTAGAACATGCTGAAAGTAGTTTAAAGCTCCAGGATATTGTATGAACAACAAACAATGGTAGAGGGTTAGGTATCAGGCACAAACAGCGATGGAGAGATTCTGACAAAGTGGCGGGAAGATCAATGGTGCAGACAGAAATAAGGAGAACAGAAGATAAAACACTTTCATCTTGGAACCCAGGTGGAACTGTGTGAAATGGAACTTAACAGAGAGGATGTTAACCGTGCAGGAGTTGTGACAATGTGAACCACTTCATTTGACTTTTCTCCCTAGATCTGTATACGACCTTCTTCACTCTCCGACAAATCTTAAACTGTGGAAGATGTCAGAAGATTCAAGCTTTCCATATTTCATAAATATATGGTCATTACGCAATATCATGTCATCATGTAATACCACACTTTCCCAAGGACGATACACTTGGCACAATGACCAAGTTCTTTATGAAATGGCGGATATCCTGGAGAAAAAAAAGTAAGAAAGACCGTTCAATCATACAGGACATCTTTTAAAATAGGGGAAGAAGAAGTCTGCAAAATCAACAAGTACTGGCATTTAACATGATGATATGATAAGTGACTCACACATCCCTCCGACCAGACATAGTTTTGTCAAGGTCTCAGAAGTTGATGGTAATGGTGGAACTCACTGTTCCTTGGATATAGAGAACAGAAGAGTCGTATGAGATCAAGAATGGAAAATACCAAGACTTGACGGACACTTGTAGAGATAAAGGCTGATAGACATGGATCTTCCCAGTACAAGTTGGGTAGAGAGGCTTTCCATCACTTAATGTTTGGAAAATGCTTGAAGCAGTCGGCATTAAAGGGGGAGCCCGGAAAACAGAAGCACATGCTCTTGTCTTGGCAAAGCTAAAGAGGAGAGAGAGAGAGAGAGGGAGAGAGAGAGAAAGAGAGAGAGAGAGGGAGAGGGAGAGGGAGAGAGAGAGAGAGAGAGAGATGTTTTGCAACAGATCTTTTCTTTTTTAACCGACTGGAATAGCCTTTAGAATGTTTCTATTGGAAACTCGGATATTAAAAACAGATTTTACCATCAAACATACTTATAGTCCAACATTTAGGTCAGCTATATTTTGTCTTGATTTTGAAATAAACATTAATTCTTTGTGCATTGCATAAAGTATAGTGTATGAGTGAAGATTTAATAATTTATTGAACTCATTGAATATTCATGTTTGTTCTCTAAATATAAATACAGGATTTATTAACATTGAGTGTTATGAAAATAAATATTTCATGAGTGACGTTATCCGCGTATGAAATATGATAATTTTCATACCTCAATCCTGTTTGTATAGAAACAACTCGATTAATCTGTATATTATATATATATTTCTGTTTTATTTTGACATTACAGTTTGAAAGAATTTCCGTTAAATTTTGTGTACTGGCTGAATTTAAAAGAAAGTAGTCCAGCAATACACCTCTGAAGATACGGAAAATATGTTTTAGTGCAGTGACAAATAAGTTTTTACAGTGAAATTACGGAAAAATGAAAATGCACATTTTATTTAATCAATATTTCTCAATATTTCATTCAAAAATATCTAAGTAGACAATAAGGGAGGGGGGCAGATGGTCGTTCTTTAGATTAAAGACTGCTCTTTGCGTCATTCTCCGCGTGAAACTTGAGTATTGACTGGACTCGAAGTATACCCTGTAGCAGACTTTTTCCTGTATTTATTTTGTATTTGTCTCATTTTGTGGTTTTGGAATAGTAACTACAACTATACAAATGTTTTTTGTGTTGGCACATACGCAGGAGTTATTTCTTTAATGACTTTATTTTTTTTCTTTAATTAATTGCATGTGCAGATCTAGCATTAATAAAAAATTTGCACTGGAAGTCTAGATCTTTACCTCATTCATTTGAAACTGCACAATTTGTGCTTGATGTAAAACTCCTTAAGCGGTGGACGTTGAGAACTCTGTTTATAGATTCTTGTTAGGCCTAATTTGACCGTTGATTATTATAAATTCCTAAAGAATATAATGAAATATTTATAATAAATTTAGTACATTCCAGAATGTGTCTTGTCTATGTCACTTCTTTAGGCTGCTATGAAGCTTATATATTGTTCAGCGGTCTAGAAATAAGTTTCATATCAATTATTCTTCTTATGTTTTAGCAAGTGACAATAATACATTTTCGGCCCATATACATGTATGTAGTATATGACAATAGCTAAAGGCTGCTAAGCTGCCAACTTCCCCGGCTGCTGGATGGCTAGGCTGAATCTTATATACTTTTCATTAAAATCACTTTCTCGTTGCATTAGAAACATATTTGATACAGAAAACAAGAAGTACCTTTAAAAAGATACCCGGCCGAACTTGAACGATTTTTACACGTGGGCCGACTTTGTTTTGTGACGAAACGTTCTGTTTGCATTGTAAGTGGTGGTTTCGTTAATTTTTGAAAAATTCATATTATCTCATTAAAGCAGCTTAAAATCATCTGTCCTTAAATAACTTAAATTTAACTTGATAGTAAAAAACTTATGCAAATGGATAATTCGTTTCCAGAACTACTTTATATCATTTTGGAAGTAGACGGGTATACCATGTCAGAAACATTCTTTATGCTACTTTAACAACTTTGCAATGACCAATCAGATTTCGAGATAATAGATTGTCATTTAAAATGACTAATGAAATTTTTAATAAGCTCTTCCCTGTTAAATTCACAGGAAGTCCAAAATAAGTCTCTGGCCATAAAAAAAACTTTTCTTTAACTTTAAGATGTCAGATTGCTTCGGAGCATGTATTTTTTCCGCGCCCTAGAGAATTTATTTTCGTATCAAATATGCTTCTAGTTTCCTAAGGGAGTGATGTTAATGAATTTCCGGCCGTTTCCGTATGCCTAGTATATGTCACTAACAATAGCTTCTGGTCGGCTTCAAAGCTTATTCATTTCTTCGCCCTAGAGATAATTTCTTTGCATATCAATTATGCTAATTATGTCATTGGGAATATTCTTGGATCATAATAAGCACCAGAAATATTACAAAGAATGTATAGGCGTTATTTTATTGTGTTTAGACATTTATTTAAATTGGCAACGCATGAGTCATGCGTTGATTGTGTACAATATTCTTGCCATGTACTATAGTAAGGTTTTAAGGTATTACTATCCTAATGCATTACCTCCGCTTTGAAGAGTATTCAAATAAGCTAGAACTACTGTTAACTACATTGAAAATGAGGACCGTGGGTTCAATCCCTAGACGGGTCAACTTTTTGTTCTTCTTTTTTTCTTTTAGCATTATTTATGTATCTCTCATGTCCCATTTGGAAAGAAAAAAGTGTTTAATTTTGATTGATTTAATTTATATAGGTATTTATTGGCTAAATTATGCTAAATCTAGTAATAAATATGGTACCTGATATTTTCAAAGTGTAATTAAATCAAAACTAGACGGTAAAAGTATTTCATATTTTACAAGATCAACCAATGTATTTCTTTTAAAAATTAGGAAAACTTTGAAAACAGCCACTCATTTGGGTATATTTTAAGGATTTTTTGAATTAGGCTCCCTAAGTAGGAAAATGGTCAGACACATGGTAAAATTGGGTGGGGTAGGGTAACTTATTATACAGATTTTATAAATCTTATGTAGAATCCATCATTTTGTTTATGTGGATTGTTAGCTGAATGGTATTTTTTGTTTCTTACCAAAACTTAATGGGAAAACATTTTTCATTAGAATGTTATTGCAGAGTATTCAAAGGTTCCTCGTTTCTAAAAAAAAGGGCCCTCATAACATCCTAGCTTGAGCTCAAAAAAAGTGGCCATAACTTCATTTCCGTACGGTAAACTTTGTTTAAATTTTGCATACAGGTGTACTTTAAGATATATATCTGACCTATGATGTCAATTTTTAATTCCTTATAGTGCCCATTAGGGTCGTAATACCTTAAAGCAGCATATCCCTAGATGAGGCAAACACTTCAAGACAAATTCGAGAAAAATGTTTAAAAAGTTAAAATATTTACAATTCAAGAAGTAACTTAAATGTTTTATGCAATTAATGACTTTATATTTTTGCATATTCTGACCTATTTTTTTGTCATTTTCGTAGATTGTCTTTTCGCTAGCTATGTATGTAAATTACTTCATTTGTTTACTTGATAATATTTTGTTTTAACACATTTTAAGATTTTCCTTTCAATTAAAATGAGCATAGATCTGGAGGCGTGCTGCTTTAACTCAAACTAGAAAATAGAAATCTTTTTAAGAAATGTGCTACAGTTTTGCAATAATGGATAGTCTCTTTTGCTTTAATGTTACGCCTCTTTTTCATACATAGTAATGCTAAGCTTTTGAAGTCATTCAGCATAAAATGCATTATACCTTATATGATAAGCAAATTACAAATCAAAAGCATGAATGATAAAAGGAAAACACAAATTGGTACTTATATATATATGACATAAATAAACCATATAGCATAAAAAATAAGAATATGTTATATATACATTGTGAGCAGTCATAGGTGTACTATATAAGAAGTAAATTGTCCATCATTGTAATAACAGTATCATGTGCTAGAAACAATCTAATTTAAAGACATATTGTTAGGCACACTTAAATCATAGGACCAAATTGTTAGGCACATCTTAATTTTCTTGGAGGTTATGAACGATGTGCGCGATCGTAAATTTTCTCATAACAACAAGAAAACCTCCACTTTCTGGGTCATGAACGACTGCTCTCTGCTCCACCTGAGCCACAGCCACACCACTTTGTCCCCCTGCATAAGGAGCCACACCTCCAGAACCCTCGTACGGAACCATTCCACCGGATGATTGTTGTCTTGGTCCTGTAAATGAATGTAATGTAGAATGTTATCGAGTAACAGAAACACGGTGTTTACAAAGGCAAAAAAAACAAAACATTTTTTTCTATTCTTTTACATGTATCGTAAGAATGCCAAAGATAAAATACCGTTTTCATCTACAAAAGATGTCAATCGGAATGTCTATTATTCATAGTAATACTGTAGTTAATACGGATTGAACGTAGTTCTACCACGTGGTTTTAGATTTTAATAGAAACAGGGAGTGAAATATTCGAAAATGTAAAACGAATTTACATATTTGACAACGAAAAAGTCTGTTACGGTACAATTATGATTGCAAATTGGTCTGACCATCATTTTTATTTAAATTTGCCCACTGATACAAACAAACTTACTTAATATTAACAGGTTGATATTTTGCACTTTCGGTTTCTACAACCACAATAATAAGTGTATAAATACATTGTCATGTTCTATGACCTTACTTATTTTAGGTGGACTTTTACTTGATATATTGAGAGATAAATTTTGTCAACAACTCTGAACAGTAAATTACTTTTTGTTAACATGTGTAGTTTCTTAGCGTAGGTTTGACCGAAATAAAGTATTCGTTCTGAGTATTCTCACTGTTGTGTTCGAGGTCCTTATCCGAAGACTGACGGAAAGGGCCGAAAGGTTGCGAGAGCAAAGCCGTAAGATTCTCCGTGCGGTGCATACTTTGTGTTTTACTGAATATTGTACTTCAGGACAACAAATCGCGCATTTTACACTTCATTTTGAGGTTACAATTTCTTGATATGTTGCACTTCATTTTGAGGTTACAATTTCTTGATATATTACAGCTCCTATACTTCTATACTTCTATACTATACGGCAATTTCCTTGTTTCCGGTTAAGTCTATTTTATTGATTACATATACCCATTTTTATCGAACTATGTTTCTCACAAAGTGCGAATAAGAGGACATCAATTGATGAATTCAATTTTAAAATGCTTTCTGATGTACAATTATAACCAAAACCGAATAATTTTCAGACAATTTGTAATTTCCACTATCATTATAAGAATTAAGATAAAGTATTGTTTACTGTTAGTGTTTTACTCGATACATTGGTATAGATATTGTCTTTAACTCCTAGCATTAAATTATTTTCTGTTTACATGTTTAGTTTCTTAGCGTAGGTTAGACCAAAATCACCGTTTATTCTTTACTATTTGTCGTACGATGGTCCTTTCCGAAATACTTAAGCTAATGGCCGAAAAGTTAACCACTGTACGATTCCTCCCGATTTATTCCGAAAGAAGCTTCAATCAACTTTAGTTTTACAAAATAAAACAGCCGAAAAGAATAGAACACAGTCAACTAACTAAGCTCTTTTTAACGCCTTACCCCGCTGGAAAAACCTCTTCCGTATAGTCTGACCACGCTAGGATGACCTACCTTTTCGTAGGTGCCCGAGGTTTTTTCCAGATATGCTCATCATATATACGCTTCTGGTAAAGATATTATATTTGGATAAAAAAGAATGAGAAACTACTCAATGAATTTGTCTTAAAAAACTCAGACGTTGACCCGACTTTTTGTAGGGATGCGCGGTTGTTTATAACAGTCTAAATGAGTTAATAGATAAACGCTATTGAAGAAAACAGACCAGACAGCGGGAAGATTACAAATTTAAGACTTTTTTTGAACGAAACAGTAGAGACAAGACTACTTTGTGTTATTTCACATACGTACCGTCGTCGTCGTCGTCATTCTTGAGAACCTTGCAGAAACAATAACAAAGGCATACAGTCAGGATGATAATCAGACAACCGGAAGTGAGGCAGAGGTAAAATGACCAACCAAGCTCAGACGTGGAATAACTTCCGGCAATGATCATGCATCCGATGAAACTGAACAATCCTGAATTGTATAAACGCACATATCTATGATGTATATAAAAATAAAACTTAATTTAATGTGATTTGAATTTAATTGATATTATAAAATTTGACATTACATATTCAAGTTTTTAAAAGGGAGACGATCCGAAAAGCAGATAATAAGTTTGTAAATTTAATTGCACTGGTAAAAATGTTTTGATAATTATCTCGTCATGTCAAGAAAGATCTAATATCTATAAATACCAGCATTATTTATCTTAACTAATTGTCAAAATATATACAAAATATATACATGTATAAAAGGCCAAGGACAATGTCGTATTCAATTAGATAACAATTTTTTCATATCGGACTAGTTTTTGTCTACATCTACGTTTCGTACTGTCTAGCGAGATTGCCTTAAATTGAAAGAGATGAAACGCGAAGAAGTCAACACCATGCTATACCTGCAACCGGAAACATTATTAAACAACATCCACCTATGAGGCCACACCAGCCCGTGTCCTCGTCGTCACCGCTGCAGCAGGATTCATAGCTAGTCCCAAATATTGCCAAGAACATAACAGCAAATGCCGTTGCCTCAAGGCCAAGGACTCGTGCGTCTAGTTCTGTTGATAAAGAAGTAGAATTTAATTTTACAAAAATGAGGAAGTAAAATGTATTGTTTGTGTGTATTTTTATCTTTATTATGACACAATTTAGGTTTGCACATAATAAATTACATGGTATGGTAACATAAAGGCAAACATTGCACTTGTCTACCTTTTGCAGTTAACAATCGCTGGGTGGAAAGCATGAATTAATGCCATTCTATTTTATCTTACTCCGATTAAATGTATCATTCTGTACGCTATTTTCTAATATCGCTTTTGATTCTTGCTTTATAATTTTCAAATTAAAATGTGTACATTTGTTTATTTTCTTACAACATTCAAGGATGCAAGGATGCAAGTTTATTTTTAGACCAGACAGACGAAAGTTATCATAGCCAGACTATTCTCTCGGTTTGTATTGATAAAGTTTTACTAAAGTACGTCCAAGGCTGCTTGATGTTTATTTTGGCTATAGTGTTTTGTTTGCATTTCTTTTAACCGGTATTGAAACTAACTTTATATCACAAGGAAGTGAAATGCATTTTATAGACCATATTTAATCTTCTAGTAAGATAAATCTGCTCTATTATTTACTTTTGGCCTGAAATTCTGACTTTTGCAAACAATGACTATTATCCCCCATCATTCAGTGTTTAGAAATTATAATCGTCTCCCCTTTACTTGCCAAATCAAAAAGAAAAAAAAATATATCTGTTAGTAAATCAATATAACCAGGCTAAGAATGTTTATAAAGATTCGAGTTTGTTTGTATCGAATTAAATATGACCTTAATCAATTGATTAGATTCGCGTTATTCTGACCTTTTATTTGAATAACAATAGATTGAACATAATTATGCAATTTTGTTAACGGTTGTGTTAAAATTTTTATTGTATCCGCTAAATTAGACAAGCCAGGGATCTATGCATTGTTAAACTGACATAGAATGAATACTACGACACGCACAATTAAGTTGTACATAGTCAACGGTAAGTCATTAAAGTAAATAAACGGATGAATGCGTTAAGTCACTATTTTTATTAAAACGAATGATTTTTTTTATCGATTTAACTACAACATGTATTTTCAAACATAAATCAAGCTATTACTTTTTATTGTAATTCAATGATATATAATTGCTTAAACAATATTATCATAATGCTTTCCGAATGATTAACAATTGCCAATGATAACGACCTCCAGGAGTCACATGATGACATTTTCGCATACTCAAAACTTTTATTTGAATAACAATAGATTTAACCACAAACACTGACATGTGTTATTTTGTTACGGATATTTTGATGTGATATATTTATCCTCTAAATTAAATCTGATAATTTAAATCGAACAGATTAAGGTCATCATATATCTACTAACTGTAAACAAAAGCGTTAAAGATTTATAATGTTCGAATTGTTATTGGTAAATACTGACCAGTATTGTTATACACTTTCATTAAAATCTTGCGTGTACACACAAAGAAGATACGTTACAACTTAAACTCTTCATTCTTTAGGTAAATAAAGTATAAATACTTAGTGTCATTAAAACTGGCAGATTTTTAAAGGCCCATTATGCCCCAGAAATACTTTTATTTTATTTTTTTAATTTTAAACTTCTTATTTTTTGTGTATTTTTATATTTTCTAAAATAAAACGCATTGGGCAATTACCTCACCAGTTTTTTCTTCTGTTGCTGTTTTGCATAGTGATTTAACATTTTGTATGAAAGTCATAATACTACTATTTTGTTACTTTTCTGGCAAATAATTCCACATTTACCGCTACATTCTTCAGGTAACTAGCATCTTACATGCTCTAAATCGGTTTTTTAAGTGTTATTATACTCATGTTTGCCTTTACGAAGATTATTTGATTCTGAAGCATAATATGCCTATTAAAAGGACCAAATTAACCTGTCCCCTAAACGGGCATGCAGCTTCTCGAATGTAGTTTGCTTGTTCTCTTATTAAAATTACACATAATCACTAAGAGATTCCTAGATTTCAATATTTTTGCAATTAAAAATTAAAATATTTAACTTAAAGATGTGAATAGTTTATATTTAAGCATAACTTACTAACAAATTATGCATACAAATATCCCCTGTGACGTGTTGGACTAAAAGGTCAAACAACGTGATTGATTGACGTCATCTATTTTTCCTCATGGATATACATACTGTTTATTTTGTTGTCTGTTAAATTCACATCAGAGACGTGACTTTAATTATAATTATCTTTATACTTGAATCATACTACTTGCTGAACAAAAGATAATCTACCCTCAAGAAATGTACCCTATGCTGGTGAAACAGAATGTAGATTAATAATACCAGGCATAGTTTCAAACAATATTCCCATGTACATGTAAATAAATTGATGCTGACTTTTGAGACGAATGTTTTAAAAGGTCCATTATGCCTTGAAAAAGCTATTATATTTATACCTCAAAAACATTTCACATTTTGGTATCGTGTTATACATTCACAAAAATAAGAATTTGTCACATAGATGAAATATCTTTTTATTCTTATGCTCTGTTGGCAATTGGCATAATTGTATTGAATTAGTATTTTGTATGGAAGTAGTTGTTAAACATCTAACATGCTCTAAATTCACTATTAAAACATTATAAAAACATTTTTGAAATTTCTAAAGAATAAACAAACATTATGGATTTCTGAGGCAAAATGTGCCCTTAATAAAACAATACATCTTTAATTTTAACTAAGAGTTGACTTCTAAATTCCCATTTACCTATACTCTACGTTAAATGTATGTGACCAAGTAATCATAATTCTTTTATTCACGGTATTGCAAATGGCAAATGTAGAAAAAATGATGTAAAAACCCGAGATGGGTATTTAAAAAATGTTATTCCTATACTGGTCTCCAAAAACGAATTGTGTACAAACCATAATCATGAAAATTGTTTGTGCTGTAAATAAAGGAGTAAAACATCAACAAAAAGCAGAATGAGTTTTAATGTATTAATTCAGATATATCATATTTACCGTCACCGCCATTTGTATTTTTGCACGTGTCATTGTTATCCCCGGAGCAGCAACTATATACAAGGCCTATGCTATCGCAGTCTGAGGTCTTGACCCAGTTTGGTGTAAATAGACCGACAGACTGCAGGATAAATGGCGGGAAAACAAAACAACATAAAGCGCATACCACACCCAGCGTATCACTAGAACCCATATCTAAAAACAATACAAAACAGAACAGAACATAATTTCATTTTTACTTGTACTAAGTACATAATCAAAGAAAATTAAACAAAATATTCATCAAAACATCAATACATTAAATTAACATTACAAACTTGAAAAACATTAGTAATATATTTTTAATACAGTATCACGTTAACAATTATATTTCCCACTTCATTTATGGGCACCAGCAGGCTGCATTTGTGTCATGTTTATATGTAATCTTTGTGTACAAAAGAAATGTAAAAATGCCAAATCGAAGTTTAGTACAAGATAAAGTTCAAGTCTTTCTTAAAAAAAAAACTTCAATAGATTAAAATCTTGAATTAAAATTCAGATATGTGAAGTGAACTCTCTTGCTTATCATTGTATTTCCTTTTTATTACTCAAGGGAGTTTTTGACATTGTACAATAATTCTCATACAAAACTTATATTATTCTTTAAATTAGCAACATAAACAAAGTACAGGCAAATGAATATCTTACTCCTAAATAATTGTTCCTAATTTTATTTTTTTAAACACAACCAACTTAATTATTACCTTGTTTTAATCCAGGCCTGAAATGTACGACACTCAAATATTTTGTTTCTGTTTTCTTTCCTAGAATGAAACCGGAAGGTATTTACACGTGGTAATTCCATGAATAAAATATTTTGTTCTACATCGAATTATTAAACCCATTAAGAAAAAGCGAGGGTTAGGTTTTTGAAATTTAATTTGTTATTATGTAAGCAAAAGAAAGCAATGATTTTGTAAGTAACAAACTTTCAATCTACAAAATATAAACGAAAAAACTATGCCGAAAATTGGAGTTAGTATAATTAATGACAAATTATATTTGTTTTGTATGTACAAGTGTGTTGTTTCAAATCCTTAACCATCATCATTAATGTCTGATTTGATATATAAAACAATAGAAGGTTAGTCCATCTAACTTAGCTTACAAAGCAACCCCACACAAGTACGCTTGCACACATGTAAAAGCACACACAAACTCTTATAAATACACAGCAAACACGATTTTTTTTTATTAATTTAACTAACTCCAAATGTCGGAATAGTGCTTTCCATTGATACTTTAAAGATTAACCATTTGAACTCAATTAAATCGTACAGAACGGTAACGTTATATATTTACAGTTTATCACATAGATTATTGCATAAATGTGCACTTTAATAGCACAGTGGACATTCTCAAAGATTTGAGTTGGCTGGACAAGTCAATTTAAGGCATTCAGAAGGTTAATCGTTGGATAAAGCTCATATCAACGTTTCTTACGGGGAAAAAAATAAAAGTAATTTGAGGTCTAGTTTTCATGTGCATAGACGAAATCAGGCTGCACCGGTTTAAACATCTACAAAGTCTACCCATGTAAAATATGCAGCCTTATATCTACCAACATTCTCGTGCTGTATGATAGTATTCTACATTTTTAACTATCAAGTCAGTCAATATCTTGAAAATTTTCCCCAAACCTAAGGAATGGGCGTGTTTTTGTTTATGGTCCTCCTGGGCTCCTTGCCACTGGCTCTTGTTACTTGGTCGGGTGGGGGCTGTGTTCAATGAACGCCGCCTTTCCTTGATGATCTTGTTTATCATTTTTTGTCCAGTTTAAAAAATGAAAGAGTCCATTTAAGATATTTATCGGCGTAATGGATAAGTTGTTAAGATACCACCCGTTGGTTTTACATTTGGTGGAGAAAAAACAAACATAACAACAACAACAAAAAAAACACAGGGCAGACAATCAACTATCCACTTTCAGGGACATATATCAATTTAGATATGTTTCATGGATCTGAAAATAGAATTTATTAAGCCGACGTATTCATTTCTTCCTTCCTCAATAAGAAAAGGAAGTAATTTGTTATCGAGCATTCCTTGAAGTCAAATTAACATGTATGTAAAACTACGTTTGACTTATTTTTTTTGTTTGAAAAAACAAAGAATCGATCGTGCTTTCTAACCTACAGATTCCTTAATCGGTGGCATGCAGTGTACCTAGCAATAACCGAGCCAAACTGACCTTTATGCTGGATACAAATTGCACTTTTCTTTTGCTACGAAAATACCAAGTGTAAGTAAGAGCTCGTGTTCGTAAATACTTAAAGATTTTGCAACGCTTAAATCATTGTGTCCGCCAATACCGTCATCTAAAGTCATGACTAGCTTTTGACCCATTGATCGCACGTGTCGTATTGGTATTCTCATTAATTTAGTAAAAATGAAACTTGCTGTAGACATTCGAAATTGGAGCAGAAATGGGAGAAAATGGTCTGGCTATGATAACTTTCGTCTGTCTGGTCTAAAAAAAGACTTGCATCCTTGCATCCTTGAATGTTGTAAGAAAATAAACAAATGTACACATTTTTATTTGAAAATTATAAAAGCAAGTCAATTTAAGGCATTCAGAAGGTTAATCGTTGGATAAAGCTCATATCAACGTTTCTTACGGGGAAAAAAATAAAAGTAATTTGAGGTCTAGTTTCCATGTGCATAGACGAAATCAGGCTGCACCGGTTTAAACATCTACAAAGTCTACCCATGTCAAATATGCAGCCTTATATCTACCAACATTCTCGTGCTGTATGATAGTATTCTACATTTTTAACTATCAAGTCAGTCAATATCTTGAAAATTTCCCCAAACCTAAGGAATGGGCGTGTTTTTGTTTATGGTCCTCCTGGGCTCCTTGCCACTGGCTCTTGTTACTTGGTCGGGTGGTGGCTGTGTTCAATGAACGCCGCCTTTCCTTGATGATCTTGTTTATCATTTTTTGTCCAGTTTAAAAAATGAAAGAGTCCATTTAAGATATTTATCGGCGTAATGGATAAGTTGTTAAGATACCACCCGTTGGTTTTACATTTGGTGGAGAAAAAAACAAACATAACAACAACAACAAAAAAAACACAGGGCAGACAATCAACTATCCACTTTCAGGGACATATATCAATTTAGATATGTTTCATGGATCTGAAAATAGAATTTATTAAGCCGACGTATTCATTTCTTCCTTCCTCAATAAGAAAAGGAAGTAATTTGTTATCGAGCATTCCTTGAAGTCAAATTAACATGTATGTAAAACTACGTTTGACTTAATTTTTTTGTTTGAAAAAACAAAGAATCGATCGTGCTTTCTAACCTACAGATTCCTTAATCGGTGGCATGCAGTGTACCTAGCAATAACCGAGCCAAACTGACCTTTATGCTGGATACAAATTGCACTTTTCTTTTGCTACGAAAATACCAAGTGTAAGTAACAGCTCGTGTTCGTAAATACTTAAAGATTTTGCAACGCTTAAATCATTGTGTCCGCCAATACCGTCATCTAAAGTCATGACTAGCTTTTGACCCATTGATCGCACGTGTCGTATTGGTATTCTCATTAATTTAGTAAAAATGAAACTTGCTGTAGACATTCGAAATTGGAGCAGAAATGGGAGAAAATGGTCTGGCTATGATAACTTTCGTCTGTCTGGTCTAAAAAAAGACTTGCATCCTTGCATCCTTGAATGTTGTAAGAAAATAAACAAATGTACACATTTTTATTTGAAAATTATAAAGCAAGTCAATTTAAGGCATTCAGAAGGTTAATCGTTGGATAAAGCTCATATCAACGTTTCTTACGGGGAAAAAAATAAAAGTAATTTGAGGTCTAGTTTCCATGTGCATAGACGAAATCAGGCTGCACCGGTTTAAACATCTACAAAGTCTACCCATGTCAAATATGCAGCCTTATATCTACCAACATTCTCGTGCTGTATGATAGTATTCTACATTTTTAACTATCAAGTCAGTCAATATCTTGAAAATTTCCCCAAACCTAAGGAATGGGCGTGTTTTTGTTTATGGTCCTCCTGGGCTCCTTGCCACTGGCTCTTGTTACTTGGTCGGGTGGGGGCTGTGTTCAATGAACGCCGCCTTTCCTTGATGATCTTGTTTATCATTTTTTGTCCAGTTTAAAAAATGAAAGAGTCCATTTAAGATATTTATCGGCGTAATGGATAAGTTGTTAAGATACCACCCGTTGGTTTTACATTTGGTGGAGAAAAAAACAAACATAACAACAACAACAAAAAAACCACAGGGCAGACAATCAACTATCCACTTTCAGGGACATATATCAATTTAGATATGTTTCATGGATCTGAAAATAGAATTTATTAAGCCGACGTATTCATTTCTTCCTTCCTCAATAAGAAAAGGAAGTAATTTGTTATCGAGCATTCCTTGAAGTCAAATTAACATGTATGTAAAACTTCGTTTGACTTAATTTTTTTGTTTGAAAAAACAAAGAATCGATCGTGCTTTCTAACCTACAGATTCCTTAATCGGTGGCACGCAGTGTACCTAGCAATAACCGAGCCAAACTGACCTTTATGCTGGATACAAATTGCACTTTTCTTTTGCTACGAAAATACCAAGTGTAAGTAAGAGCTCGTGTTCGTAAACACTTAAAGATTTTGCAACGCTTAAATCATTGTGTCCGCCAATACCGTCATCTAAAGACGTGACTAGCTTTTGACCCATTGATCGCACGTGTCGTATTGGTATTCTCATTAATTTAGTAAAAATGAAACTTGCTGTAGACATTCGAAATGGGAGCACATTATACATGTAAAAATGTCTCTCTCCTTTATTTTTCCATGAAAAACCCAAATGTCCTTAATGATTCTGATTTCTATTATGTGATAAACAGACTTCAAATCAAAGTAAAAACAAAATCTCCTTTTTCGAAAAGATTTAAAGCCACTGAAATATCTTCATATTTGAATTGAATTTAAGCAAATGATTTGTATGCCGATAGTCTAAAACTATCCTAGGGTTTCCCAATTTCCGAATGCTACTGTCAAAGGATTTGCTGCGGCAGGAATATAATTAATTTCAGAAATAAAACTTTTATTCAATAATTTTTCCATCTCCCCTTTAACAAATTCCGAATAATTCCTAGCGCTTTAGTTATTTTTCAATATGCAAGTATTAGGCAATGTTTTGAAAGGTAACTTATACCCCTGAGTAATGACGGTTCTCAAATAAACACCAATTCTGATATTTTCCCACTCATTTTAACAATCGCCCAAATGGCGAGGCGTTATCGTCTATATGGGTTAAACCAATGCTATTTTCAGAAATCAATCATTCTTCTAAAAACAAACAATCCGTGTCATTTGTATCATTTTTGCATATACTCTTAAAACAATCAAAAACAGAAAGACTACTTATCTTTTCATTAGTTTTGTCAGCACTTGTACCTCTACACTCGTATACCCAATGCCCTGGCTTGTCCCATGCGAAACACACTGTAACACATAGACCTGGCCGGGTTGACCTGCTGGTTGTGACTGTTGAGATGTTCCAAGCTGCGACTGACTTCTGTGGCTGCGTCTCCACTGACGCTGTACTACCATACGGTGAAAATCTCTTGAAACCGGAAAATGGACGTTTACTCTTCCATTTAATATTGGTCCTGGCTTCAGCACGAGCTAACTTTTTCTCGTCTTTGGAGTCCGAAGGAAGTCGGTTGCTTTGGTATTCCTTGACTACTGACTAATCCAATTCCGAGGGGCCTGCTATGCGAATGAGCTTTTGACAATAAGAAAGTGAACTCAAACCTTCGGAAATGCATTCTGACGCTCCAGACAAGTCCATTCATTGGCTTTTGAGG